TTCTTGAGTCCTGCTTGCTGGAGAGTATGTGAATGATCTGGGAAAGTTCACTCTCCCTTCTTCCAAATCCTGCATTTGGTTTGTCATCATTTCACCCTTGGGCTTGAGACAGCTGCCAGTTGAGTGACCTGCTGATTTGGGTTCACCAGCCCCTGCAACCATGTGAGTGAGGGGAGTTTTCCAGACCTATACCTGAACCACAGATTTGGGACCTGTCAGCCTCCCAGCCTCCACCACTGCATGAGCCATTTCCTTTTCAGTGTGTGAGTTCTGTGAGACATTACAGTGAAATAAGGAACTCTACAACAGGAAGGAAAGTACTGAGGGGAGGAGGAGGAGGAACTGATTAGAGAAGAGGCAGTGGTACAGAAATCTGGATCACCTGGACATCTGGGACATCTTTAACTTCTGCCTCATAGGGACCAGCGTTGTGCTGATCCTTCTAAAAAGAATTATTCAAGCAGTGGGAAAAACGTATTATATTTATGTGGTGGTTATGTTTGTGTGTCAACTTGGCTGGGCCTGGTTGAGTGGCTGGACGGCTGGTGGTAGTTATTTCCCATGATGAGACTGGCAATCAACTCCATGGTGGAATCTACCACAAGCAGCTGAGTAGCTGCCTTTGGGATGTAGTCTGTTTCCTGTATATAAAGAGAAGCCTTGGGAATGGTCTTTAGCATATGGCATGCTTGAACCCTGCATGTAGCCATGTCATTGTTCAGCTGCCTGCCACGCTCTGCCGACCATGGGACTTACAATGAACTGAAGTTAATGGCCTGCCATATGGTTTGGTAACATCAGGACTGCGCCTTTCTACTTGTCAACCTTGGGCTTCTCAGCCTTAGTAGCCAGCAGCTATCTCAGTGAAGAAACGCCTCTAGCTCCAGTGGGACGGGAGCAGGAGGCAGAGCTGGACCCCGAGGTTGAGGGGCTTTCACCCAGCCCCTAGAGCCTTGCACTTTGAACTTGGACGTAAAGCCTCCAAATTGTGAGAGAATAAACTTCTATTTGTTAAGGCCATCCCATTTGTGGTATATTTCTTGTCAGAATGGCACTAGGTAACCAGAACAATTTACAAATCATGAAATCAAATAGATTTATGAAATACCAAAGGAAATACTACAGAAGTACTAGAAACTTACAGGTTATGAGAAGTATTACTTTAAGTGTGAGTGTACACATTGACATGTATTTTGAGAACAGCTACCATAAATTATTAAAATAGTCCTTATTCATTATTTAAACACACACACACACACACACACAAACACCCTAAACCAAAACCCAAAAAATGTAAGGATAACAAAAACACACTCCATATTCTTCTTCCCAGCAATTAACTATGGTTAACATTAGGTCAAGATCATTCTGGTCACTTTTCCATGTGTACTCCTCTCTAAGTGTTCAGAGAAAGAAGACTAAAAAGAAGTATAAAAAATGGGATTATACAATATATTTAACTTTAAATAACAAGTTTCCATTCAATTGTAATCAAATTTAATAAAAGAACATGAACAAACACTGAAAACTTTACAAACCGCTGGTATCTAAAGATGTATCAGTTCCTTAAAAAAAAACAAAACTCTCTAAAACTAAGAAAAAAAGAGAGTAATAAAAAGATTATGAAAACTTTAAGTTATTATATTCATTCTTTTTTTTTTTTTTTGGTGTTGAAGTTTTCTTTAAATTTTTATTGCGATTTGGGTGAAAGTTTACCTAGCAAATTCATTTTCCATACAGCAGTTAACACTTTATCTCATGACATTGCCTATAATTTCCCACAATATAACAGCTCTTCCCACTTCTTCCCCATAGTCACCTCTTCCCTGTGTCCTTCCCTCCTATGCACTCCTGCCCCCCGAGCTGTCTCCTTGTGTATACACAACCCTTCTATTCTCCCATGACTGATCTCTCCAACGAATGTATCTACTTAATGTAAATGTTCAGTTGTCTGGAAGCCACAGGAGTGGGTTCAATTCCAGACCGGCAGGGTAGCTAGAGGCCAAAGTCTCAGGAGTTTCACCAGGCTCTATTAGACCAGCAAACCTAGTCCTCATTTTTTTATATTATTATTATTTTGTATACTCATTCTTTTTAACTTGACTTTTCAATTTCTGGCAAAATGATCAACTCCCTGCTATGAAAGATAAGCAATTAGCATTCTTTGCTTCTACCTCTGATTTTTGTTAGTTATATTCTATTCTGTAACCATACTCACAGTTGCTTAGTCTAATATTTAATTGATTTAATTATCACCAACATTACTCTTTATCACACCTTCTGAGCTCTCTATTTTCAGTCTTGGTTATTTGGGTTTGTAGGTTTTTTTTTTCTCCAGGGGGGCTTAGATACAAGAATTTGTGGATTCTTCATTCAGTCTAAAAACATCCATGTGCTGCCCTTTACAGTAGGTTGTGTTTGGCTGGTGTAACATGCTTGCGTTTAGTATTCTCAGAACTGTAGAGACACTGTGGCACTGCCCTATGGCAGTGAACAATGCTATGGAAACATTCTTCCCCACTTTATATAATTGCCTAAAACTTCCTTCCTTTGACCTCAGTATTCAATAACTGGCTAGGAAATATGGCTCAGAATTGATCAGTCTGTTATTTTTTTTTTTTTCCTGGAACATGGTTATGTCCTTCTGACCTACAGATAAAACTCCTTATATATTAAAGAATTTTTTATACTCCAAGCCTACAATTCCTTACTTAAAATCCTTGGTACCAGATGTATTTTGAAATGCAGGACTTTATAGATAGTAGTAAAGGTAATATAATACACATACTGAGTATTATATAACACCTCCAGTGAGGTCAAACAGCATACCTATTCATTGATACCAATATCTTGTAGTGAAATGTATTAACATTTACACTAAATGGGATAAATAAAGATTACAAACAACCTCACATCATTTCAGGCCACTTCATGGCCCTGTGTGCCTGGAAATGTCAGTACTATAGTTGAGGATGTGGGCATGTGTGTGGGTGGATCCTGGCATTGCTATGGGAAACAAAGACCTAAATGCCTGTATGTTCAGTACTACAAGCAGGAAATGGGCTAGGGTGTCTGTGGATCCTGGCCCTGCAGGTGATGGAATGTGGCTAGTGTGTCGCTGGTTACCAGTATTATGGCAGAGAGACTATGGCTGAATCTGTTAAATGTTTGTTGGATTCTCTACCTAAAGCCCAACATCAATTCTTTCACTGGATCATCTGTCTGAATTTTGTATTAATTATCTCTTTCACTTTTATTTCATGGTCCATTATGTCATGGGACACATTATTCTCTGCATTCATTATCATCTTAAAGCCATTCCTTTTGTATCGGTTATTCAGTGCTCAACTAGGTCTATTACATTCAGATAGTTCTGTTACTCATCTTATTTTGGCCCTTGATTTCTTTCTGTAGCTTTAAAATTTCCTATTAATATCATTTTGTTATTTGGTCATTTCCCTTTGAATACTTGCATTGATGAATTCTTAAATTTCATTAAATATAATTTCTTTAGCACAAATATTCACATGGGTTCTGTCTTTATTCTTTCAATTATACTGTTATTCAAATGAGGTTTATCTTTATTTTGTTTGCACTTTTTTTTTCAGTAATAAATTGGTATAGTTGCCACTTTTTTCATTTTGTTATGCTTAATTAGCATGAGCAGCTCTCATACAGTATAGATGAATTCTCCATAGCATCCAACCTTCTATGACACTTATTTTTCCCCTCTGAGTTTCAAGCCTAAGTATTTTGCTTGGAGAGGGGGTAATTCCTCTGGATCTGTGCAGCTTTGTTGGGTCCATGAGTTTCTTGATGCACTAAAATTTTGTCAAGTACGTTGGACAAGGATCAAAATCCCATCGATCTCTGGCCTCAACTTAGCTTGAACCCTTGAAAATGATGAGGCCTAACAATTCTTCCTGATTCTGCTGAAATTCTGGGATACTGTGTGATGGTAGGTAGGTGTATTCTTTGATATTGTGTAAGGGTTTTACATACTTTGGACATGTTATCAGGAGGGACCAGTTCCTGCAGATGGACACTGCACTTGGTGAAGTGGAGGGTCAGAGAAAAAAAAGGCCCTCAGTGAGATGTACTGACATAGTGGCTGCAACAATAGGCTCAAACATAGCAATGATTATGAGGATGGCACAGGACCAGGTAGTGTTTCATTCTGTTCTGTTGTATACAGAGGAGCTCTGGTGGTGCAGTCCCTAAGGCATCCGAGTGCGAACCAGAAGGCTGAGGATTCAAACTCACCAGCCACTCTTGGAAGGAAGACTGGGCAATCTACTTCTGCAGAGATACTGCCTCAGAAATCTAAGGAGGGGTCACTATGAGTCGGGTTCAACTCAATCGCAGTGAGTTGGTATACAGAGTCACTATGAGTTGGAACTCACTTGATCTCACCTAACAACAAGGGTACTTATTCATTCTTCCAGTCTATTATCAAAATGAAAGTTATTTGATAAAAAAGCTCAGTCCCTGGTAAACTAACCTTCTTTCTCTGAATGACATCTGAAAGATGGTATTGCACCAGAATTTTCTTTTTCAACCTCTACTTTCTGAAGTTATGACATGAAGTTGTACCTAATCTTTAGTGTGGCTATTACTAGTGATTGTTTTTGAGGAGGTTGACTTTTTTTTTTTTTTTTTAAATAAAAAAAAAACTCCTTTCCATTAGGTTCATCACCATCTTTATCTAGAAGTATCTGGTTATGCTTTTAACTAAATAGGCAAAATATCAGAACTTTGGCAGATGTTAAGCAATGAGAAATCAAGAGAGATGGCCAGAATTTTAAATAAGTAACCTTCACATGAATCTCAAAAAACTAGTCAAATTTTTAGAACAAAATGATCAGCTCTTCTGTGGGGCTGTAACATTTATATGGAAATTTCATACCAAAAAAATTATTTTTTAACTTTTAGGTAAATTCCCTTTTAACTTCAGACCTCCTGTTTTGAATTGTGTTATTTTAATTATATTTTATACTCACAGGCCAAGGCTGAAGATCATTCAGTCCTTTTTCTAATTTTTCTGTATCTGGAAACTTTGTGGCTCCATCAGCATCTGCCATGAGGATATTTTTTCCTCGAGAACTGAATACACCCTGTTTTCAAAAATTACAAGTAAAAGAAATGTGCTTAAAAATAAGGCTTAAGTCAATGACAATTTAGTTTGCTCTGCTTTACTTAAAATACTTAAGAGTGGAATAACTAAAACCAAACCCACCGCCATCGAGTTGATTCCAACTCACAGAGACTCTATAGGACAGAGTACAAATGTCCCATAATTCCAAGGCTATAAATCTTTACAGAAGCACATTACCTCATCTTCTCCTACAGAGTGGCTGCTGAGTTCGAACTGCTAACGTTTGGTTAGCAGCAGAATGCTTTAACCACTATGCCAGCAGAGCTCCTTTAAGAGTGAAACATTAGGTATGAAATGGCAAATGGAGGCCAAAGTTCACTAAAAAGAAAATTCATCGATAAGATCTTCCCAAATGTGCCTATTATTTCATTTAAAAAATGATGTGAGGTCATACAACTAATACGTTGGAAAACAGGAAGGTAATAAAATAGATTTGGATAAATGAAAGATATTCTGCATCAAGAATGTTGTTGTTGTTATGTGCTGTCGAGTCGGACTCGACTCATAGCAACTCCTCCTTGGGTTTCTGAGGCAGTATCACTATGGAAGTAAATTGCCCCATCATCCTTCCGAGGAGGGCTGGTGGGTTTAAACTGCCAGCCTTCTGGTTAGCAGTCAAGTGCCTTAGCCACTATGCTACCAGAGCTCCCATACCATTAAGAATAGAAAAGTAAAATATCTACCATACAATATACTTAAATATGCACTGCATTATGTGTCATGGTGCTAAAAAGCCATGAGTCTTCTCAGCATAAAAAGAACATGTCTATTGACAGAGTAAACGAATCTTACAAGTAAACAAATACACAAACACATATCAGTGATGTGAAAAACATCCTAATATTACAAATATTTAGTATTCTTTTTGATAGAACCTAAAATTTTAAATTGATGTAGATTGAAGATATATGGACTGTCATTAAAATTTAGGAAGTATGGGTACATCCAAATACTATTTTGTCATTTGAGGCATTATGATGCCACTGGTAGTACAGCATGTTAAACCACTCAGCTGCTAAAGCAAAAGGTCCGCAGTTTGAATTCACTAGCCACTCTGCAGGAGAAAGATGAGGCAGTGTGCTTTCGTAAAGATTTACAGTATTAGAAACCCTATGGGGCTGTTCTACTCTGTCCCAGAGGGTCGCTATTAGTTGGAATTGACATGATAGCAGTGGGTTTGGACTTTGAATGCCACTCAATTTTTAACTGATGGATCTTTTGTGCAAATTATGGCTCTAGAGTAGGTATATATTTTACACAGAAATAAACTGCACATCAACTCTTAATTTCTATGGCATATTTGGGTGAATTCATTGTTTTTAAAGTGTAAATATATTTATTTACACTCATCTGTCAGTTTGTTGTACTGTGGTGGCCTGAGTGTTGCTGTGAGGCTGGAGGCTACGCCACCAGTATTTCAAATATCAGCAGGGTCACCCATGGTGGACAGGTTTCAGCAGAGCTTCCAGACTAAGACAGACTTGGAAGAAGGAAGAGGCCACCCACTTCTCAAAGAATTGGCCAGTGAAAACCTTACGAATAGCAGTGAAACACTGTCTACTACTGGAAGACTTTACGAAGAGCCCTGAAACACTGTCTGATATAATGCAGGAAGATGAGCCCCTCAGGTTAGAAGACACTCAAAATACCAAGAGGGAAGAGCTGCCTCCTCAAAGTAGAGCCGACCTTAATGATGTGGATGGAGTAAAAATTTTGGAACCTCCATTTGCTGATGTGGCATGACTCAAAATGAGAAGAAACAGCTGCACATACCCATTAATAGTCAAAACATGGAATGTACAAAATATGAATCTAGGAAAATTGGAAGTTGTCAAAAATGAAATGGAATGCAGCATTAGTGAGCTGAAAGTGACTGGTTTTGGCCATTCTGAATCAGTCAACCATATGATCTACTATGCCAGGAATGAAAAATTGAAGAGGAATGGCATGGCATTCATCATCACAAAGAGTGTTTCAAGATCTATCCTTAAGTACAATGCTGTCAGCCACACAATAATATATGCCTACAAGGAAGACCAGTCAATACTACTATTATTCAAATTTATGAACCAACCACCAAAGCCAAAGACAAGGAAATTGAAGATTTTTTTTTTTTTTTTAACCAATTTCAGCAGTCTGAACTGACCAAATATGTAATCAAGATGTGTTGATTACCACTGGTGACTGGAATGCAAAAGTTGAAAACAAAGAAGAATCACCAGTAGTTGGAAAACATGGCCTTGGTGACAGAAATAACAATGGAGATTGCCTGAGAGAATTTTGCAAGACCAATGACTTATTCATTGCAAATACCTTTTCTCAACAACATAAATTGCCGCTACACACGTGGACTTTGCCACATGGAGTACACAGGAATCAGATTGACTACATCTGTGGAAAGAGGCAATGGAGAAGCTCAGTATCTTTAGCCAAAACATGGCCAGGAGCTGACTGTGGAACAGACCATCAACTGCTCACATGCAAGTTCAACTTGAAGCTAAAGACAATTAAAAGTCCAGAAGAGCCAAAATATGACCTTGATTATATCCCTCCTGAATTTAGAGAAAAATTTAAAAAAAACAGATTTGATGCACTAAACACCAATGACCAAAAACCAGAGGAATTGTGGGATAACATCAAGAACATTACCCATAAAGAAAACAAAAGGTCATTAAAGACAGGAAAGGAAGAAAAGACCAAAATGGATGTCAGAAGAGACTCTGAAACTTGCCCTTGAACAGAGAGTAGGTAAAGCAAATGGAAGAAATGACAAGATAAAAGAGCTGAACAGAAGATTTCAAAGAGCACCTTGAGAAGACAAAGTCAACTATTAGAAAGAAATGTGCAAAGACCTGGAGTTAGAAAACCAAAAGGGAAGAACATACTCAAAATTTCTCAAGCTGAAAGAACTGGGGAAAAAATTCAAGCCTTGAATTGCAATACTGAAAGATTCTATTGGCAAAATATTGAATGATGCAGGAAACATCAAAAGAAGATGGAAGGGATACAGAGTCACTGTACTAAAAAGAATTGGTCTATGTTCACCCATTTCACGAGACAGCATATAATCAAGAACCAATGGTACTGAAGGATGAAGTCGAAGCTGCACTGAAGGGCTTGGCGAAGAACAAGGCTCAAGGAATTGACAGAATATACATTAAGATGTTTCAACAAATGGATGCTGTACTGGAGGCACTCACTTGGCTATACCAAGAAATATGGAAGACAGCTACCGGGCCATAACCGTACCCACTCCAAAGAAAGGTGATCCCACAGAATGTGGAAATTATCGAACAATATCATTACTATCACACACAAGTAAAATCTTGTTGAAGATAATTAAAAAATGGCTGCAGCAGTATATTGACAGAGAACTTTCAGAAACGCAAACTGGATTCAGAAGAGGACATGGAACTAAAAATACCATTGCTGATGCCAGATGGATCTTGGCTCAAAGCAAAGATTTTTACTTGCATTTTATTGACTATGCAATAAGCATTTCATTGTGTGGATCATAACAAATTATAAGTAACACTGAGAAGAATGGGCCAGAACACTTAATTGTGCTCATGATGAACCTATACATAGACCAGGAGGCTGTTGTTCGAACAGAACAAGGGGATACTGGATGGCTGAAAATCAAGCAGGGAGTGCATCAGGGTTGTGTCTTTTCATCATACTTACTACAATAAATGGTGAAAAGACTGAAGTTGTCACAGATTTCGTATTACTTGGTTCCACAGTCAACACCAACGGAAGCAGCAGTCAAGACATCAGATGACGTATCGCACTGGGTAAATCTGCTGCAAAAGACCTCTTTCAAGTGCTGAAGAGCAAAGATGGCTTTTTGAAGACTAAGGCGTGCCCAACCCAAGCCATGGTATTTTCATTTGCCTCATATGCATGTGAGAGCTGGATAATGAATAAGGAAGACTGAAGAAGAGTTGATGCTTTTGAGTTGTGTAGGTGAAGAATACTGAAAGTACCATGGACTGCCAAAAGAAGAGTTGATGCTTTTGAGTTGTGTAGGCGAAGAATACTGAAAGTACCATGGACTGCCAAAAGAACCAACAAATCTGTCCTGGAGAAAATGCAGCCAGAATGATTCCTGGAAGCAAGAATGCTCAGACTTTGTCTGACATACTTTGGTAATGTTGTCAGAAAGGACCATTCCCTAGAGAAGGATATAATGCTTGGTAAAGTGGAAGGTCAACAAAAAAAGGAAAGGCCCTCAACGAGATGGACTGACACAGTGGCTGCAATGATGGGCTCAGGTATAGCAAGTATTGTGAGGTTGGCACAGGACTATGCAGTTTTTCTTTCTGTTGTACATAGAGTCTGATAACATGTAACAGTATAAACATAGGTAAGACTCATACAAATGTCGACAGAAATCTGATAATTTATTCTGTGAGGTAACAAGCCCAGTAATTAGTGTCTATGATGCCTTTTTTTTTTTTTTTTAAACCATAGCCATTAGAATATGGGGAATAAAGTAGAATTATCAAAAAACCAAAATATCCAAACAACCTACATGGAATTTTAGAAAAGAGAAAATACTACTACAAGGTACAAAACCTAGAGCTACTAGTTTGAAATAAGAAAAAAAAAAATCAATAAATGTCTAAGCATTAAATGACACATGAGGATAGACTGTGGGTTAATGTTTATGATTACTGGAAAACTGTCTTTAGCCTTCAGACTTGTTTAAGCCTCCCACCTTAAGGTGAAAAAAGGGCTTCTTTCGCACTTACTGCTCTTCTATGATTCCATCTGTGACCTTGACTTCATTGCCAAATTTCTTGAAATGGAAGGACTAACCTTCCATTTCTCATCTACTCATAGTTTATCCCCTCTGACTGCTCTTTCTGTGATTTTATTTCCTTCTCACATATTTCATTTCCCTAAGGCTTGGCTCCTAGGTCCCATCTTTTTCTCCACTCACTTTATTGCCAATTC